TATCAGGCCAGCAACAGAGGCAGTGAGGGTTGATCAGGCCGACAAGGGGGGGTGGGGGCAGTTAGGCGTGACCAGGCAGGCGGGCAGGTGAGTGATTAGGAGCCAGCAGTCCAGGATGTGAGAGGGATGTCCAGGATTGGAGAGGGTTCAGGCTGGGCTGCGGGGACCCACCCCCCTGCACGATTTTGTGCACCGGCCCCTAGTGTAACATAATCCTGGTGCTAACATTCTGTCACCTTTGCATCTGTTAGTTAGAAGCAAATCACAATCAAGGTGAAGGGGGTTTACAAGGATATAACTCACTGGGGATCACCATAGGGTGTGTCGGCCACAATGTCTGACAAAATAACTAAAAGCTTTTATATTAAATGCATCTTATGAAGAATTCTGCATATTCAAGACAGCCAAAATACATTAACATAGCTCCCTGAAAACTAGTTACTATGTGAAAATATGCACATTTTAAGCAAATACATCTGACATCAAAGAATTTTCTGTTTAACATTTATAAGCTAACCTGGTAAGCTTTAAGTCTGTAGAAAATTGTAAAAGTTGTTGAATTTCTTTTTTTTTAATATTTTTATTGATTTCAGAGTGGAAGGGAGAGAGAGATAGAAACATCAAAGATGAGAGAGAATCATTGATTGGCTGCCTCCTGCATGCCCCACACTGGGGATTGAGCCCGCAACCCAGGCATATGTCCTTGACCAGGATCAAACTTGTGACCCTTCAGTCCACAGGCCAATGCTCTATCCACTGAGCCAAGCTGGCTAGGGCTGTTGAATTTCTTATACTATGATTAACAAAATGCACACAGTAAAAAAAAGGATTTTGGTATATCCTATATAATAAAAGGGTAATATGCAAATTGACCCTATCAGCAGAACAACTGGGAATGACTGGTCACTATGACACACACTGACCAACAGGAGGCAGATGCTCAATGCAGGAGCTGCCCCCTGGTGGTCAGTGCAGTCCCACAGGGGGAGCTCTGCTCAGCCACAAGCCAGGCTGACAGCTGCCAGCACAGCAGTGGTGGCGGGAGCCTCTCCCGCCTCCTCAGCAGCACTAAGGATGCCCGACTGCAGCTTAGTCCTGCTTCCCACTGGCAAGTGGACATCCCCCGAGGGCTCCCAGGCTGCCAGAGGGATGTCTAACTGCCAGCTTAGGCCCAATCCCCCAGGGAGCAGGCCTACGCCAGCAGGTGGACATCCCCCAAGGGGTCCCAGACTGTGAGAGAGCACAATGACATATATACCAAATGTCATTGAATGGACTATGAATATGTTATCTTGAGTCTGAATCCTTATTTTGCCTTTAGCTGTATAATATTGAACAACTTATTAAACACACTCAATCTCAGTTTTCTTATTTAGAAAATAAAAGATGATCAGCCTGGCCAGCGTGGCTCAGTGATTGAGCTTCGCCCTATGAACTAGGAGATCATGGTTCAATTCCTGGTCAGGGAACATGCCTGGGTTGTGGGCTAGATCCCAGGAGGCAGCCGATCGATGATTCTGTCTCATCATTGATGTTTCTCTCTCTCTCTCTCTCTTCCTTCCTCTCTCAAATCAATTTTAAAAAACATGATTAGAGTATTACTTTATATGGTGGTTTGAGAATTAAATGAGCTAGTACATATAAAGTGCTTAAAACAGTGCCTGGCACATATTAAATGTTCAGTGAGTTATTACTTAATATTGTTATGAAGCTGCAGCTCACTTTTTTAATATAACACTATAGCTTAGAGATTATTTTTGTTAATATGGATAGAGTGGAAGACAAAAATAGGAACAAAGAACTAAAACAATAAATAGAAAACAGTAACAAATATGGTAGATATTAATCCAACTATATCATTAATCACTTTAAAAGTTAATGGTCTAAACACACCAATGAAATGACAGATGCCCTGGCCATGTGGCTTGGTTGGAGCATCGTCCCGTACACCAAAAGGTTGTGGGTTCGATTCTCAGTCTGAGCACATACCTAAGTTGCAGGTTCAATCGCTGATCGGGGTGTGTGCAGGAGGCAATTGATTGATGTTTCTCTCTCAACATATCCTCAGTTGGGGATTTAAAAAAAAGAGAGAGATTGTCAGATTGGATTAAAAAAATCAAGAGAATGAGAAGACAAACCACATACTAGGAAAAAAATATTTGTAAAAAACAAATCTGATAAAAGGCTGTCATTCACAATATAGAAAGAACTTTTAAAACTCAACAATATGAAAATAAATAGCCTAGCTAAAAATTGAATTAAAGACCTGAATAGTTGTCTCATAAAAGAAGATATAGAGATGGCAAATAAGCATATGAAAAGATGCTCTACATCATATGTCACTAGGGAATTGCAAATTTAAGCAACACTAAAATATCACTACACACCTTTTAAAATTACCAGAATTCAAAATACACCAAAGGCTGACAAGGATGTGGAGCAATAATAACTCTTATTCATTGCTGGTGGGAATGTAAAATGGTACAGCCACTTTGGAAGATAGTTTGGCAGTTCTTTACAAAACTAAACATACTCTCACCATACAATCCAGCAATCATACTCCTTGGTATTTACCCAAAGGAGTTGATAACTTTTGTTCACACAAAAATTTGCCCATGGATGTTATAGCATCTTTATTCATAATTGGAAAAACATGGAAGCAACCAAGATATCTTTTCACAGGTGAATGGATAAATAAACTGTGGTACATCCAAACAATGGACTGTTATTCAGCATTAAAGGAAATGAGCTATCAAGCAATGAGAAGACATGGAGGAACCTTAAATTCATATTATTAAGTAAAAGAAGCCAATCTGAAAACGCTACATACTGTGTGATTCCAACTATATGACATTCTGAAAAAGGTAAAACTACAGAGAAAGTAAAAAGACCAGTTGTAGCCAGAGCTTAGGGAGAAGGGAAGCATGAATAAGTGCAGCACAGGGGATTTTAAGGACAATGAAATTGTTCTGCAGGAAACTGTAATGGTGAATATGTGTCTTTTTACATTTGTCCAAACCTATTGAGTGTACAATAGTGAACCCTCATGTAAACTATGGAGTTTGGGTGATGATGTGTCAATGTAAGGTCATCAATTATAATGATGTGTCAATGTAAGGTCATCAATTATAATAAATTGTTTGCAAGATTAGGTGGGACAGTTTGAGGCTTAGTGGATTCCTTATGCTGAAATACAAGTGAGATATTGCCTTTTTTCCCCCAGATATTTTATTTATTTTTAATTAAAATTACTAGGGTTACATTAGTTAATAAGATATATAGGTTTCCAGTGTACAATTCTATGATATATCATCTGTATATTGTATTGTATATTCACCAACAAAAGTCAAGTCTCTTTCTGTCACTTTTATCCCACTTTACCTTCTTGTATCTCCCCCCAACTTCCTTTCCCTCTGGCAATCACCATAATGTGGTTTGGGCCAATGGAGCATTTATTTTGTTTTTTGGATTTCACATATAAGTGAAATCATATGGTATTAG